TTTTTCCAATAAATCTCTGGCAAATCAGTATGCCAACAAACACTTCCTTAGTTTCCTATGTTTATCTTAAATGGTATTTACTAAGTGACTGCACAAATGTCTTATAAAGACATTTTTAAGGAGCACTCAAGCAAATGTATCAATTTGGTTATTATGTTGACATCATGCAAAAAAACTTACAATGCACTAAGGATCAGGGAAGGCTACTTCAATTGAATGTTCAAAGCAATGTGTTTCTGAAGAAATGTTGTTGTCTGTATTGATCATACATCTGTTACCATTGTCTCTTTTATTGTACTTACCCACCAGAAATGTGCCTTTGTTTTTCTTCATCTTAATCTAGATTCTAAAAATTAAATTGATTTTGCTTCATATCACTGCACCACTTGAATGCTTCCAAGATCAGAATTTCTCCAGCAATTTTTCTGTTGTTAAATTGGAGCATATCTTGCCTCTGTGTTCCGACATTGAGTCTAACATGATGGCAATTTTCTGTAATAATTTTTATCACTAAGCTATCATTAGAGGAATCAGAAATTGAAATCATATAAATTTTATGCTGCTTAGATTATATCATGCACAGCTTTGCTCAGTTATCATTCCTGTTTTTTTTTTTTTTTTTAATAAATAGAACTAAGGGATCATTCAATCCTTGAAAACATAATTACTGAGCACTTGTGCAGTACTAGACTCTGTGACTACAAAGATGAGTAAAGCCACAGTCCCTGGCCTGGATTACTCATGGCATCATGGAATGGATTGAACAAGGAAAGAAAAGTGATCATAGACTGTTTTTTGATTAATACTATATTGTAAGCAATTAAATAATCCAGCTTATTCTTTAATCCAAGCAGCAAAAAACTTATAGGGTGCAGGGGGTCACAAAATATAAATAAAAATTGTTGATAATTCTATATGCTAAGAATGATGTTAAGTGTTTTAAATGTAATATTTTAAGTTATACCTATAGCAACATTATAAAACAGAGATGATCATTCTGATTTAATAAATGAAGAAACTAGGACTTCAGTAGTTTGCCCACAAGTAGCTTGCCCAAAATTACAAAGGTAAATTGGTAATCAAACTGAAGGTGTGGGGTAGTAATAGGAGAAAATGAACTAGGTTCCAACCTCTGCAATTGTTTATGGGTACAGAAGAGGAATAAAAATAAGCCACCAAAATAAGCACAGAAAGCACAAGTACTCACTCCATCCACTGTATCAAATAGTTTGCTCAATTGTAACTTTCTGGTCTATCTCTCTTTTAAACCAGATCATGAGCTTTTTGAAAGCAACAACATTATCATGTTCATTTTTCTATTTCTTTGACATAAATTCTGCTCAAAAAATGGCTATAAAATAAATATTTAATGGCTACTGACCCAACCATTAAGCATGCGTCGTATTTAGGAGCTACATTTCAAGAGAGTCACTTCAAAGAGGCAATGCCAGTTTCAGAAGGCCAGTTCTCAGCTCACAGTTCTATTCTACAGTAAAACATAAGTGCAAAATTGAAATACAGCATACCAGTTTCAATTTTCACAGCAAAATAAATGGAAATTTCCTGCTGATATATGACAAGAATCAAGTTAGTTTAATTTTATATTTATTGCATGTAACATTCACTATGTTAAAAAATTTACTCAAAAGTTAAATATTTTTAAATGCATGATGTTAAGGCTTTAAATTTTTATTGGGCAAATGAAGACTACATATTTTTCCCATTCTCAATTCTCCTTAACACCATTTGCATTATAAAAATAGTCAGATTCAAATTTTTAAAAGGTTCCTAGAGCCAAGTAAATGTCTCTACAGTTATCTGTAATTTGTGATTTTCTTATTATTCCCACTGTAATTTTGAATCTATCAATAAACATATCAATTTACATATCAATTAACATTTTATTATACTATATGAATGAAGCAAGGAAAAAAAAGACCTTTTTCTGTCTTAAATTACCTCACAGTGGAAGTAATGAAAGCCAACTCTCTGAGTCCACTTTCTGTTGCTAATGACATTGGGTAATAAGTTACCCAATGTCAAGAATACTTGACATTGGGTAACTTATTATAAACAATGGAAATTTATTTCTTCTAGTTCTGGAGACAGAAGTCAGATCAAAGGGCCTGCATCTGGTAAGGGACTTCCTGCTGTGACATCCCATGGCAGAAGACAGAAGGACAGAGTATACAAGAGAGCAAGATTGAAAGAAAGCTAAACTCATCCTTTTTATCAGAAACTTGCTTTCAATAACTAACCCATTCCCATAATAATGCTATTAAGCCATTCATAAGGGAAGAGCCCTTACTACCTAATTACCACTTAAAGGTCCCACTTTTCAACATAGTTACATTGGGGATTAAGTTTCCAACATATGAACTTTGAAGAACACATGTAAGCCATAGCACTGACAAACTGAAAACATGAATGAGTTACAACATAGTGAATGTGGTAAAGGAACCCAGGGAGACATAAAAGATTAGGTTTTGTGCCATTCTGGGCAGGTCATTTCACTTGGTAGCAGGCCTTATTCATTTCTTGCATATAACAGACAAGTATTTTCTCATCAAATTTTAAGCCTTAATAGATTTCAAAAGAAGAGAAAGCCGCAGAGCTATAGATATGGCTTTCCTATACTTTTCCAATTTACACAGAGATGAGGCAGCAGTGTGGCTCCAAGAATGGACATGTGTGCTGGTTTCGAAGTTTGCCCCGCCAAGTCTCCTGGCAGTGTCACTCAGCTGTTATATTAACTAACAGGGGAACCATTTCTGCCAGCCTCTCTTATTCTCTCTTTCACATCAAAACCTCTACTGACAATCCAAAGTGAGTCTACCAAATAGGCAAGACTTCTCTCAGTGGAGGGACAAGTTGCACTATACATCCTGATGTGGCCACATAAGTCACTAATTCATTCAATACGCTACTATGTAACAGACCTGTGCTTGGTGCTAGAGCCATGGGGCACTGGTAACGTTTACAGGGTATTTGGGGAATACAGACAACTAAACAGAAACTTACAGTATTACATTCAAGTTTAGAGAAATCAGGAAATGTTTCCCAAAGAAAGTAATAATATCCCACTAAATTGGGACCTGAACAAGTTGTTATAGATCTGCCAGAAAAAGAGATGCATGGAAGAAAAAAAGAAAAAAAAAAAAAAAAAAAAAAAAAAAAAAAAAAAAAAAAAAAAA